AATATATTACGCTAGGCCTTTCGAATTGATTTCTTTATCAAGCGAGTTGATTTCTTTATCGTGCAGGTAAATTTAGTGAGAAAGTCTAATTGTATTTAATCCCATTAAATCTCGGGGAAACAATTGGCTTGTGTATTCAGTTTTTGTATACTTTTGTTTAATGTATTTTTTAATAACTTAATGCGTTTTTCTTTTGTGCATTTTAATATAGTTTAATGCATTGTAATGCGTTATCAAGTATTTTTATGTTTTAATGTATTATCAAGTATTTTTAATATTTTAATGCGTTTTAATGCATTTCCATGTAGTTTGTTTGTTTGTGGTTTATTGCATTATAATGTATCACCAGGCATCTTTTAATGTCAAGTATTTCTATTGCTTTGATACATTTTAATGTATTGTCGTGTAGTTTAGCATAGTTTTTTCATTGTAATGCATTACCAGGTATTTTTAATATCAGCTGTTTTTTTCGATGTTTTAATGCGTTTTAATGCATTTTAATGGCGTTTAATGTGGTTTAATGCATTTTAATGCATTTTAATGTAGTTTTATGTAGTTTAATGCATTTTAATGTAGTTTTATGTAGTTTAATGCATTTTAATGTAGTTTTATGCAGTTTAATGCATTTTAATGTAGTTTTATATAGTTTAATGCATTTTAATGCAGTTTTATGTAGTTTACTGCATTTTAATGTAGTTTTATGTAGTTTAATGCATTTTAATGTAGTTTTATATAGTTTAATGTATTTTAATGTAGTTTTATGTAGTTTAATGCATTTTAATGTAGTTTAATGTATTGTTAATATATTCTGTCTGGTTCATGATGTATGAGTAAGAGTAATGGTGCAACATTTTTTGAATGTCGGAGTAGACAATACGGGTTAATATGGGGAGAAGTGATTTTACAAATAAGGTGGATAGAATGAGGTGATTTTACAAATAAGGTGGATAGAATGAGGTGATTTTACAAATAAGGTGGATAGAATGAGGTGATTTTACAAGTAATGAGGCTAGAGATAGATGATTTTTTCAAGTAATGAGGTTAGAGACAGGTGATTTCACAAACTGTGAGAGAAGATAAAAAAAGAGACAAGTTTTTAACCATTTTTTTAAAAGATAAAGCAAAGAAGAGAAACGAGAAAAGGAAGAAATACGAAGAAGAGAAACGAGAAAAGGCAGGAATACGAAGAAGAGAAACGAGAGAAGGAAGAAATGCGGACACATTGAGAATTAAAAAAGAGTCATCAATATACTCGAGAAGTGGAAGGACTTTTACCATATCCATATACATATTTTACAGAAAGTGGGGTGTGCGTTTTTTCAAACAATTGTGGCACGTTTAGACAAAGATGAAGATAAACATATACGTGGGTTAGTATTCTTGTTAGTAATAGTTGATTTTTTAATGTTTTTTCTTTTTTTGTTTTCTTCTTTTATGATAATGTTTTCCTTTTTTTTCTTTTTTCTAATGATTTTTTATTTTTTTCTTTATATGTGATGTTTTTTTATATTCTGTTCAGATTTTTTTATACTTTTTTGTTTTTTATTTTTTCTGATTTTGATGATGTTTGCTTATTTTTATTTTTATTTTTTATTCTGACTGTGGCGTTGTTTCCTATTTTTTATTATTTTTATTCTGAAGATGTTGGCAGTAGCCTTATCGCCTCTTTGTTCGGCTTTTTTTGTACTAATATATCTTTAAGACTATCGGTCAGTCGGTTCGCATATATGACCGGTATGTCATCGAGTGGCGTACCTTCGAATATCTCTTTCCATATCTGATGTAAATGTGATCCGAAGTTTACTAGAGATGGTGTATATGAAAAATGCAAGAGGATATCCGTACTAAAGTTTATTTTTCTTTTTTCTTTTTTGTTCCATTGTCTGTCTAATACTAGTTCTCTGAATTTCGAATGTTCTTTACCTAAGAGTATTTCTGATGTTTTTATCCCTGTTAGGTCGTGCAAAAAACGTCCCATATGTCTATCTATAAATTTAGGTGGATATTTATTCAGTAGTAATGTTATCATAATTCTTTCCAATTCACTTTGTAAATCTTCCGGGTGTGAACATATGCGAGTCGCCCGTAGTGTTGCTGCGTATGGTATGTTTCTTGTTATATGTGGGGGATGTGATGAATGAAACGGTAACACATATGGTTGGGCCGCTAATTTTCTGAAAACTGTTGTTCTGAAGCTGGGTATTTCTATAGTAGCTTTAATATCTAGATATTCTATTGTTTTTCCTCCTTCCCACGTTATATTTATATTGGGATCTTTTTTATTTAATTCTTGCAGTAGTTTTTCTATTTGTTCGGGTGATTGTCTAGTAGTAAAAAAGATATCGTCACGAAATCGAAAATATAGTTCATGTTGTCTATGTTGTTCATGTACAAAGTTACTTTCCCATTTTCGGAGATAGATATCAGCCAGTACCTGGGTGCATGCTGACCCCATTGCTCCTCCTCTAATCTGTTGGTAGTATTTTGGGTTTAAACCTGGTAATTGAAGGACGAAATATGAGTTCTCTAAAACGTGCAACAGTAAATCTTTTATTGTATTAATTGATAGTCCACATACTTTCTTGTATCCGTACCTTCCCAGAAACTCGCATACTGCTAATGCTGATCCTCTCTGTGGAATCATAGTATATAGATCTGTAATGTCAAATGTGTACATATTGGTTTCATTTGTTGTTTTAAATTCCTTCAAACGTTTTAGAAAAATCATCGAGTCTGAAATTGAGTATGGAGTGTGTCTATCAAAAAGAGGTCGAATGTTTTGATCAAGGAAGCTTGATAGCTTTGCTAGAGGAGACTTCATTCCGCTTACAATAGGTCTGAGTGGCTCACCGATTTTATGGTCTTTTGGGTTGTAATAGAGGTGAGGTAATTCTGATTCTGTTATAGAGGGTCTTAATTTATCTAATAGTGCTTGGGGTATTCGTTTTTTTGAAACTAAATTACGTAGAAGTTTATCTGTTTTTTCTATCATTTCTGTTAGTGGTGATGATGATATCTCCACATATGCATTTGTTTTATCCATGTATATCGTTGATTTCTTAATATAATTTTCTCTTGTATCAGTATGAAAGACTTTTGATTTATCTGTTTGTCTAAAGATGACGTTGTTTTTCTTTTGAATTTTTTTAAAGAATGTTATGGCTGGTTTTAATGTGGGATCCCTTGGTGCTTCGATTATTACTTTTTTCCTTATTTCTTCTTCTACTCGTTCACAAAATTTAGTTACTATCGGTGGTTCACGTGCTATAGTTTTGGTCATTCTTCTCCAGGCTGTTGCAATTTTTTCTTTCATATTTTTTATTTCTTTTGGAAGACGCTCTAAAACTTGTTCGGGTGCTGGGGGGACAAATTTTGGTCCTAGATTAAGTATTCTAGTTTCTGTATCTTGTAGGATGCAAGCTTTATTGTTTGCCTGTGGGGGAAAACTAATTCGAGTGTGGTGTGGATGTAACTTTTCTTTTGAATATTTCGAATGATTATGGGTTAGGGCGTGCATTAGTTTTCGTTGATTATGCACGCCCTTTTTGCTAAAAAATTCATTTTCTTTTTTGCAAATTGATTATGTCTTGTTTGTGATACCTGACACATAACATTATATGATTCTCGAACATGATCCGAAAGTTTTTTTATTAATTCTTCATATTCTTTCTTTGCTTGTTCTAATTCAACTACTTTAGCTTGTCTCATCAATGTAGTTAGGTCTAATTTTGTTTTTCGAAGGACATTTTTCCATTGTTCACGTAGTGAAGTCAAAAATTTATCATCTGATTTTAGTCCTTTTGCATGCAATTGTAATTTATCAAATATATTTAAAGATGGTGGTGGCATATTTTCCATAAACCTCTTTTGGGGTGTGGGTGTGGGTGTGGGTTTGTGTGTGTGTGTTGTGTGTGTGTGTCTGTCTGTGCGTCTGTGCTGGGTCAAAGGTCAAGGGTTAATGTTCAAATAAGGCTATAAGGGGAAGGCGCCAAGGGCTATTATATGGAGGTACCCATAGACCCTTAAGGACTATTATATGGGGGTACCATAGGTCCTCAGGGGCCGTTCTATAAGGTACCCATTGGTCCTCAAGGGTGTAAGAGAATAAAGCGATAAGGCTACAAGAGGTACAAGGGATATAAGGCTATAAGGACATAAGGCTACATGGACTATAAGAATATGTGCGATATAAGAGTATGAAGCCATAGGGCTATCTATCCATCTACATAATATCGAGTTTCTGTATGTCTGTTACCAAATGAAAAGTTAAATGTCTGAGATCATACGTTAAACGAAAAACCAGTCGTGCACTATGCATGGGACCTCGCTAGTTTAACTATAATGCATTATGATGCATCAAAAATAAAAATCATCATCATTATATCGTTATAAATGTAATACTTGATCATGCATTCAACATAATCAAAAAGATTATATAGTTCAACTTCAATGCATTAACAATACATTGAATATATTCAACATCATAATTTTGTTTAAATAAATGTATTGCATTATAGCGTATCAAACATAATCAACACGAATATATGATTTCAACTAGAATGTGTTATAATACATTTGAATATAATTGACATTATCATATTTTTTTAAAAATGTAACATATTGTAATAAATTGAGCATAATGAATAAAATCATATTGTTGTAACTCTAATACATTATAATATATTTAACATAATCAATAATATCATATTGTTTTAATGTAATACGTTATAATAGATGGAACATAATCAACATGATCATATTGTTCTAGTTGTTCTACATTAGAGTACATTGAATATATTCGGTATCATTATTTTGTTAAATTGTAACACATCAGAATACATTGAATATAATCAACATCACTATTTTCATTTAATTTAATACATCATAATATGTTAAAAA